TAGTATATAGCAACTATTCATGCTACAAAAAAGACAATTTTGCCTCAAAGGTTTTTTAAAGACATTAGATTTTTACAAGATGGTCTTTTGACTATTTTCAATGATAATCAAAGTTATATTTTTCTTTCAAGAAATCCTACATTCCACATTTGTACTAAGCATGTTGAAATTTAGTATCACTTTGTTTGTAAATAGACTGAAAGTAACAACATCAACTTAGTTTTTTATAGAACTCATGACATGGTTGTGGATGTTTTGACCAAAGGCCTAACTTTTGAGAAACATTGTAAATTTAAGGACATGATAGGTGTCATCAAATTAAGTTAGTCTAATATGTCATTAAGTGAGAGTGTTAATAGAGTGTGTAACTCCTATTAGACATAAAATAAAATAGGTACTTGACATTGCTTTGCCAGTTGATAAGTTATAGCCACCATTTATTGGTAGTAATATTATTTAGCTACCGTTGTCGTATTACGTGCTTTCCTGCTCGAGAACGCGCCGGGCGTCTCGTTGTAGAAGGTAGTATGGAGATTCGCCGATAGTCAAGCAGTCTATCAGTTTTTGACTGCTGGAATATAAACGACTGCAACAATGTACCGTAAATCTATACAGATGCTCTTCGACTGCTTGTCGAAGTCTTTTTTTTTGCCCCAGCCGATAGGTCTCTAGACGTTACAGAGAACCCCGAACAACCCAAACTATTAATCTTCAATACCCCTTTGTACTTACGATCTTGTATCCACTGACTGTCCTGTTAGATTAACCCAATAAATTTCATTCACTCCGCATACTCAATCCTATAGACACTCCTTTAATCCTTCAATCACAGACGTAACTCGATTTTACAAAACAGTCAAGAGTATTCAAACCCACTTCATTTAAAAATCCCGATTCACCATTACAACACTCGCTTCAGTAGCGATTGCCTCAGTCTTCCCAAAACTCTACGAAGAAGAAAAATCCAAATTCTATGTCTTTCCTTCCCCGACCCGAAGCATGAAGCTCCTCTCTCTAATTCCCTTGATCTTCAAAAACCTCCAATGAAAACCGAACTGGTAACCTTGTAGAAGCTTGAAAATTAGCTCCCCCCCCCGATTCCCCCCTAACCTTATCCTCTGAATTTCTTCAATCTTCCGTCTTAGATCCGGAATTGGCTCCCACCTCAAGCTTGGATCCGAAATTGGCTCTCGCCGTCAAGCTTTCTCCTCCGTTTTTACCTTTAAGAAATCCATTTACCGAAAATAACGTTCTCTGAAACAGCACAGAGAACAGGACAGCCTGAAACAGAATCGAACCCCGTAATCGGGACCACATTGAGTCGCCCGACCAATTCAGGTCCTATATTGGGAAAGATGCCCGTAGTAACCTTGATGTTCCCGTAATTGGGTCAAATTGGTCCTCGCGTCAGATTGGCTAAGACCCGTAGTAAGACCTGGATTTCCCGTAATTAGACTGCATTGGGTTGACCGGCCAATTCAGGTCTCATATTGGATAAGAGGTCCCGGATTGGATTATCGAAATTGGATCCAATTGGCTCCTCAAACCCGTCGTGTGAATTGGTCCTTCTCTTCTTGCTGACTCCCGTTATTGGAATCGAACGGAGCATTTCAGTATGCCTCGGCTGATTGTAACGGAGTGACTGAACCTGACCACTCAGTATTTGTACTAGAGTTGGTTGATGCTCCTAATATTCGAGGTAACTGAATATTAATAAAATTCCCCTTTCTTTTCATTTTCACTGTATACTCGTGTTACAACACGACACCGTAGCCTATCAAGCCATCTTAAGGCTTAATAAGATGAGTGTCTACATGTTCATTGGACATTGTTGACTAAGCTAGTTGTTTGTATGTTCACACTAGAAAGTCTATGTAATTACATATATTATTTAAGGAATAGAAGTAAAAGTTCATTTTAAGCATTTGTTCTCTTGAATCTTTGATAGTAAGATAGAGAACTCTTTTGTATTTGTTCATAAAACTTTCATTTTAGCAATATACTTCTTGTTTATTTTCTCATAGAATTTATAATGTCTATATATATATATATATATATATCTTGGTCTTTTAAATATATAATAGAATGACACTACTTTGAAAAGACATAAATAATAATTGTGAAGAAAATTATTTGTTATTGAGTATATTATTGAGTATGTTCTTTTGCATGTATGTGTATATATTTATATATTTTAAGATAAAAATATTAAATTCAATTTGTATATGTATAAATTTTGATTTTTTGATTTTTTCAAATATATTTACCAAATATCAATCTATTACTTTATTCAACAAACAATTAAATTCATGTTATTGAATATGTTGTATTAGAAATTAATTGGCATCAACTTTAGTTTAAAAAACCTTATATTTTAAGAACTGAGAGTTATTTATTTTGATAATACTATGCCTCTAAAACCTTATACTTAATTAGATACTAAATTCAGGTTAATGAAATGTATGAAAATGTATAGTGTAATAGTTATATGTAAAGGAGGACTTTTGAATAACTTTAAAAAGATAAAATCAAATCAAATCAAAATCAGAGTACTGTATGCAACAAATAAATAAACAAAAACTTTGGTGACTTTGTTTATAATTATTCTAATATCTTAACTTAGATGACAAGCTAAAATAGTGAGGACTTAAATTAGGTAAAAAGTAACAAATATGTTGTATTAATGAAGTAAATTGTTGTTTTTATATCACATATCATCACAATAAATTTGCATGATTGTAAAGTAATGACATATTAATCTTCATAGAACAATGGTACAATTCACAATGTTAGATATCATGTTATAATATATATATATATATATATATATATATTGGTATATCCAAAAATAAACATGTTGTATTTAGTTAATTCAAGAAAATTATCAACCATCACCATGTATTTGTAATAATTAAAATTTGTTCAATATATCTATTTCTAAAAATAGAATGAATCTGAATAATTTAGAATCACTCAAAATGCACAAATTGCTGAAACTCCTCCATCATCTGATTTCTTTGTAAGTTTTGATTTTATTTAGTTTGTTTTACTGAACTGAAAGTATTATTAAAATAATTGATATTTACTACCATTACTTTTCAATGTTTGTCTGTAATGAACTGTAGTGATGTTATTTAGTTACATATTTATACTAGAAAAAAAAAAAATATATGCAAATCTACTGTATCGATTTATATTTGGATGTAGAGATTAATATTTAATATCAAAGTGGTTTTTGGTTTATTTGGTTTGTTATGGTATATAATTAATTTTTCAGAATTATTGTTTTTAAATAGAAAAATAAAAATTCTTCATAAGTTATATATATATATATATATATATAGAGAACCAAATCATATAAAATAAAAATGCTTCATAAGTTATATATATATATATATATATATATATATATTCACATACACAGAACCAAATCATACATAATGTATTCACATTCTATTTTTAAAATTTTAGGATTTGTACATTAGTTGAAACTTTGAGAACATACTGGTAGTGACAAAAATAAAGTTCAAAATGATAACAACTGGACAACAAAAATAATAGCATAGAATCATCTACTTTCATCTTATTTTATTTCTCACTCCCTGTTTTAATTTTAAAATAATAATAAAAAAAAAAAACTTGGGTCATTTTAAAATAAAAGAAGAAGAAGAAGAAGAGATCTTATTGTGTATAGGAAATCCCTCAAAATGCAAGCAATCTTTCACTTGACCTAACAAGAGCTTCTTGATAATTTTCAAAGGCTGTTTATATTTACCCCATTGAACTGAAGTTGCCCCATACACACACATCCACAAGTAAGACAAAGTCCAGGTCTATAAAGTCCTACAATGAGAAGCACCAGAGCATGATCCCTTGGCTAGCCCTTCATTGCCATGACAGTTCCATCCTGGAATGTGATTCAAATATTGCCAGCCATTTGATGGAATCTGAACCCCACCCCTGGAAAATCAATCTTCTGTGAGGAGTACTGCATGACAACAAGGTTGGGCCATGGTACACAGAGCCAATCATGTGCTGTGGAATTGGCCCTCTGTTCGTAACAAGAAAAAAGAAAAAAGTATTGCACTGTAATTCTGATGCTGAATAGAATTTCACACCCGAAAGACAAATGTAATACTATGTTTCATCCACAGTCCGCATGGTATTTTTCATCCAACAGTTCCGACAGAGAATGGGTTCCTTCCACTTGCCTAATTTGCAAGCAAAGCCAGGCCAAAGTTTAAAAGAAAAAGCCCAGCCTTGAAGTCTTTAATTCATTTATGGGTTATGTTCCATTTGCCCACTAATGTTCAACAAGTGACAATCACCTAATCCAGTTGGCTGTCAAGTGGATGAGTTTCCATGTGGGTTTTGGATGAGAAAGAGAAAGGGGGTTTTGTGAACAGCACTTTCCCCTCATTCATCCATTGACACAAAGGAAAATCTGCCATATGGGACTCTCTCCACAAACTGGCTGGCAGCCGGCCCCCCAACTGGAGTCACATGGAATTTCCAATCTGGATAAGCTATTACACACAAGTGGCAACCATTTCTCAAAAAGAAAGTATCAATAAAAATAAAAATAATGAAAAGAAAAAAGTCTCTCCATCTAAGTGCTGGCAAGGCCTTTAATAATTAACTTGGCCTTGACTCTGGCCTGATGGGGGGTCATGGTGCATGTGAGATACCTACCTTGACAAAGACACACACCCTTCCATCCCATTGCTCATTAGGAATTGATGATACAAAGCCAAGCATCACAAAGCTCACTGAGAAATCCAAACCTAAATTACAACAAAGCCAGGCCAGAGAACTAATGCAATAACCTTGAAGTCTTGAGCTGTGGATTGGCACCGGTAATTCTGATGCTGAATAGAAGTTCATACCCGAGAGAGCATACCCGGGAGAGTGACGTTCGCGATAATACACCCGGGAAAGATACACTGGCGTGAAGAGCAAGATGGATTGAGGTCCGGCATGTCTGAGAATCCTTGCAACACTCATTCCCTTTTGCTGTTTCCTGTTCCCCACTCTTCCTCATTTTGGTGCTTGCCGTCTTCAACTCCCACCCCGCAATCACCGCTCTCTCTCTGTGTGTCTGTGTGTGTTGCAACGCAGGAAGATTCATCTGCCGCGCCGCATTGCTGCAATTCGTTGCAGCGGAGAGAGGCAGTGTGAAAAGTAGCGGAGGCTGGGATTTGCCTTTGAGGGCGGTGTTGTCGAGAGTGGGAGAAAGGGAGAGAGATAGAGAGAGAGAGAGAGAGAGAGAGAGAGAGAGCGAGGAAGGGAGGGTGTGGGAGGATTTCGAGGCCTCTGGATTGTTGTTCACGAGGTGTGGGGTTGTTTGGTGCAGTGGAAGAGGTGAGAAGGGTGCCGATGGCGGGGGTGATTGCGTCGCGGCGGTGAGCCTGGGTGAGTGGTTCAGGCTACCCCCTCCCCTCACCTTTTTTATTTTTTATTTTTTTATTTTTTATTTTTCATTTTCTTCTTTTTCTACCTACTTGATCTATGCGCATGAAATTTTTCCTTCCGATTTGACCGAGTGGGGATGCCCTCGGGCGTGTGCCAATGCGTTTTTTTATGGTTAGAAGGCGATTTTTGTGGGGACGAGACGAGGTTTCTTGTCGGCAATGCTTATAGTTGCCGAGATTGTGGAGGCGGTTCCGTTGTCATAGGGGCAAAAGGTTCATTATGTCATGGAATTCTACCAGTCATGTAACCAACAGAGGAACTGCCTTAGCTTGTTATTTAGTTCTTGGAGGGTGTGCCTTGCGGTCTTGGGGTAGGATAGTGCTTCAGAAAGTTCCTCATAAGTTGGAGTGTCCATCGCTGTGAATGCTTGGATGAGCTTTTTTCTGATGTATGACAATGCATGTATATGTTGGGTGCATGGAGGGTTTGTTACCGTCCGTTTCTTTGCCTTCTCGCTCTATAATGACTAGAAAGTCATCTCGAACTTCAGATGCGGGGCGAGTATGTGTACGAGATAGATATATGGTGGTCTTTGAGAAAATAGATGAAAGAATTACTTCGAACTTGTTGAGGAACTCTGAGTATGGAAATTAGGGTTGAGTTTGGGTGGGGAATTTATAAAGTTGAGTCTTATTAAAGTAAATAACGGACGTTGATGATGACCCTATTCCCTGTCCCCGTTTTCTTCTTCACAACTGAAAAGTATTTTCGGGTTTCGAATTTGGTTTTTTCTGTTCAGTGTTGTTTTGTTTTGTGTTATATTGTCCTCGAGGGTATACATCTCTGCCTGAACTTATCGTTTTGCGTTTTGCACCTCACGTCTGCGGTATTCTCAATTTGTTGGACTTTGTGGCAATTTCTGTGGGAAGTAAGAAGTTCCTCTTGTGACTTTTGTGTATGCGGTAATTTTATTGTCTGGATGTATCGGTCTGGACGAATGAGGAATCGGGAATGTGATTTAGGGTTGTCTAAAGAAAAATACATATGTTTTTTCTAATTTCTTTTTTAGTTGTCAATAGGAATGATAGCTACTGAGAACGACAGATCTTTTTAAAATCCCGTGTATTTACTAGTTAGCTGTTGTTCATATCTTGTAAGTAATGTTGAGGCGTTTGGTGTAAACCCAAAGATTGCTGTCTTGCAGTTTGCGGCTTGCTCCCGCTCTTGATCAGCAGAAGTTACTTGTTATTATCTAAGTACTTTTTTGTTTTGTTTTTGTTTATTTTTATTTTTTTAATTTTTATTTTTATCAGCGCTGTAACAACTAACGTTCAGAATACATAGATTGGTATTTCCTCAAAGTGGGTTGCTTCAATTCGAAGGGTCACGGGACTTTTACGCTTATCATTTTTTTACGACTTTTAACACAGTTATGAAAGAAGCAGGCTGCCTTTTTCATATTTTACGTTTCGATACCACTTGCATGTATGTGCTTCATGCCCGTCATATTTTCACCCACAAGATAATTTATTTTCATTGTACAAGTTTCCTTGAAAGCTATTGCCGAGAGTTTGGTCTGATGTGAATTCATTTTCGCAGTGAAAGGCATCATCTGAAAACGGTAACTTGGATCCAACGACAACTACGACCCTGTATATTTTGGCATTTCGAGAGGTTTTGCTGCGTCGTAAGGCTTGCGCTACCTCGGATATTTTAAGGCGCATACATCATCTGTGAATCTATCATCGATCCGTTTCTCGTGTTTGGTTTTTGGAGCTGGTTCTATACACCTAAAAACTATGGCCCAATATGGTCGTAAGCAGGACACGGAGGAGACGAACTGTCAGCCTCCCGAAGGTCCTGTGAGGTGCACCAACAACTGCGGATTTTTCGGCAGTGCTGTAACTATGGGTATGTGTTCTAAGTGCTACAGGGACTTTGTACTGACGCAGGCCAAAACATCATCTGCTAAAATTGCGGAGACAACCCCGATAGTGTCTGTACCGAAAGAGCCTGTGGCAGACAGAGCTTTGTTTCAGAGCTCTCATTTCTTAAGTGCACAACCTGAAGCTGCAGGTGCATCCTCTGGAGCGTCCGCTTCAGGTCAAGATCCTTCCCGGCCAAAGGCCAACCGATGCTTCTCGTGCAAGAAACGAGTGGGCCTCACAGGTTTCGAGTGCCGGTGTGGCAACTTATTTTGTTCTGCACATCGATACTCTGACAAACATAGTTGCACTTTTGATTACAAGACTGCCGGACGAGATGCAATATCAAAGGCCAATCCTGTGGTGAAAGCTGACAAAATGAATAAGATCTGATTTGTTAACTAAGAAATAGTGAATCTATCAAGGTCAGCCCACGGAACCATTAGTTCGTTCAGTGGATTTTTCTTCTTAGTGGGGTCTGAGCTGGTGAAGTATCTCTTCACTGTCTTCAAACATTCGCATAAAGTGCAGGTTATGATGTTTACGTATTCAGGAGATAGAATTTTGGTGATAGGCTTGTTCAACGTGAGCTATTAAATGCTCTTGTTCACTTCTGGCTGGGCTACTATTTTGGCCTAGGATCGTCAAGTTTTTTTAGGTGTGTCACCCCCGCAGCTGCATTACTTGGGGATGCGATGTTTGACTGTGTTCTCTGCTGCATTGTGGCATCTTACAGATGTCCGAGTTTGTATATAAGCAGTGAGTAGGCACTGCAAACTTTTGTTTCTGTACTGGCTAGAGTAACTTTACTTATTTTCTCCTGCTTCAGTGTTATTCACTTCAATATTGATGAGTGAAAGGCAGTGATCTATGGTTTTGCTTTTGGTGCCTGGAGATTCCCATGCTGTAGATGTTGCCTATCTTGACACCTGAGGTAGTTAAGCGGTGAACGCACTGAGGAGACGGGTGACATTTCGGCTGGAAGAGTGCCTCAATTTCAACGCTCCATACTTCGGGCTAGCTTACTTCACTGGCAAAGGCTTATTGCAGTTGAACTGTCTGGTGTTTGTCCTTGGCAACTGCGAGGATTGAGGTGCGGATTGCATGACGCAACTTACAAAGCCGGAGAGCGATCGTGAGATGTGTTGATAAGTTGTTTCGCAAGTAGACCAACTTGACGCCTGGGTAGACTCCATCCAGCATGCAATAGAAATTACTTGAAAAAGAACCGAGAGCGCTGCAGGGCTGTGATAAATCTAGAGATAAGTGATTCGCTGTTTACGAGAATACATGATTGCAGGGGCATATCTTTATGCTGAACCTTTGAAGCACAACAGCAGATTCGAACTTGTGTGATATGATTTGTAGTTCTGATATTGCACTTTCTTACACGAGCTACACTTCAGTTCTCTTGAGAAACTGTGCGTTATCATGTCATCGGCAGTTAGAAAGGACCTGTAGGCTTTCTTTGCCGCGTCCATAAGATCATGCTCAGTAGGATGCTACAGTGGTCACATGAAGCTTGGATTCCGGGCTACAGACTGTACCCAGGAATGTGTCCAAACAGATGTGTTCTGGGCTACAGGGGATTGTCCAATACGATCATCACAAGAGAATTGTTCTGTGGATGACTCTCCAGAGGGTAGCTTGCGTCAGGATTGGGGAAGTTCTTCATGAAGTTCAGTGGGCTAAGGATAAGCTAACAGCAGTTTAAGATGAGTAATTCTACTTTTGAGTCCAAAATGGGGGCGTCCAGTGATTGCATCACGGAAGAATTGCTACGTGGTGCTGAAAAGAAACCTTAAAATAGCAGAAAAAGTGCTGATAATGCTCCTGGTTTGCTGGCGCTTTTGTGGAACTACAGTTTTCCACCATCAGCATGATATCATGTACTGTTCATGATCTCGTCGTTGAGAATTCTGTCTTAGTGTGCTTTTGATCTACTTGCATCGTTGAGCAATCGAATTTCTTCATAAGGTTTGTTCAACATCCATAAACATAACTGGCTGCAAGTACCTTTCTAATGCATGTGTGTGTGCACGCAAGATATATTACATCAGAATGCCTTTTTCTTTGCTGAAATACAAATATACGTTTCTACTTGCAACTATTTATCTCATATCTCTAAATTCCAGCAAAGTCAGTTTCATGATAACTTGTATATGCAATGCAATGTTCACATTTTTTAGTAACTTAAAACCAACTCTGAATTGTTAAAAATACTTTTTTCATTAAAGTTTATGTAGTTTATGGATTTTTAAGATTAAAAATATAGATTTTATCTTTGTTTGTAGCTCATCTTGGACACTGATTTACAATAGATTTAATTATACTCCATAGGATTTTTAATTTAACTCAATTACAGTTGCAATGATATTTTTTTTAACAATTTATTTTTTTAAAGTATTGGAAATGCCTCTAAAAATAATCTTAAGAATTCTATACAATATGTACACATAAACAGTGTTATTAGAGAAATTAGAAAAGATTGGAATTTTTAGAAGATACATGTTATCAATGTTAAATACAAATTATTATTATTTTTATCAAAAAAATAAATGTTAAAATAATTATTACAAATGTTATATATGTATTTGTTCAATTTTTTAAGAATACATTTAATTGTTTATTTTTTTTAAAATTTAATAATTTTAAATAATATACTATTTCCAAATCAAATAAAGTTGTTTTATATGGAATCATATCATAGTTTTTTTGTTACTTATAACATTTAATAAAATGATTTAATTTAGACTTAAGAATTGAAATATTCTATTTTATTCTAAAGACAAAACTTCAACATATTCTTATTCTAACATCATAGATTACTTCTAGCAAAGCAAAGATAAGAATATTAACTCGATTTATATATAATATAATTTTATTTATTTATTTATTTATCATTGTTAAATTATTCATTTATCTCATTTATATTATAATAATATCTTTTTAAAAAATATGATTTTATTTTTTTGATAATAATTTATTATAATAATAATATAATTAGAAATAATTTGTAACTAATTATCAAAGTCTTTTTAAATCTTTTACTATAAATTTTAATTTTTTTAGATAAGTTATTAATCTAATCAAGTTTGATAAAATAACCTCTATAACTTTTATATAACAAGAGAGATTGATACAATATGAGTGGCTTTGTTGTGCAATAATGCATTATGCAATCTAGAATCTATATAAACTATGTATGTACTAATATATTTATGGTAATGAGTATATATCAATAATATGAATCATAAAAAAATTCTAAAGAAATAATATACTCTTGTAACATTAAAAAAATAAAGTAGAGAAATCAAAGGTAGATATAAGATAGAAAGTAAAATCACCATTGTCAAATATAAAGAGACTAGAGATTCTTGAGCTAAGATAAGAACACAAAAAAGGCATTGAAAAGAGTGAAAAAGACTTTAATCCTGCATTTATATATACTATTTAATTAAAGAGCTATATAACAATGTTCTATAGATCATTTGACATGTTTCCAACTTGAAGGACACATGTTTAACCTCTAAGATAAGTTTCCTACATATACACTATATAGCCAACTTGTATTATAGACATTCAATAAGAGGATTCTAAAAATATTTTAGAATATTCTAATAGATTCTAAAGGTTCTAAAAGATTCTTAGAATATTTTAGTAGGTTCTAGAAAGTTCTAGGATAATTAAGAAAGTTTTTTAAGAAGCTTTATAGAGTTTTCTTAGAAACTTCTTAAGAAGCTTCTAAAATTGCTTCATCTTCAAGCAATATGGAAACTTCTCAAGAAGCTTCTAAAATTACTTCATCTTCAAGCAATATAGAAACTTTCCAAGAAGCTTCTAAGGTTGCTTCATCTTCAAGCAACATAGAAACCTCTTGAGAAGTTTTCTAATACCTAATATATATTAGATTTGAGATTGAAGAAATCCTTAATCTCAACAACACATCTCTTGGAGCTTTAGCTCACTTCTCTTGGTGTTGATCTGGTTTAATCAAGTTCTTGTTAGCTTTCTTATTAAAACTCTTTTATTCAATTTCTTGTTTTGTCTCCTATATAGTATATCTATGACAACTTGTACCACAAATAGCCATTATGTGCAACATGTGGCCAACTTGTTGACAAATTTTTTAACCTTCTAATCACCTAGAAATACTTGTAAAGTAAAATTTGCATCTACAAAGCTTATAAGAAGCTTTTCCATAAGATACTATTAAATTTATCTATTTTTATTTCTACTTATTTTTTGTTTTTTAAATTATTAATACCAATATTAATTTTTGTGATAATATGCATCTTTAAGTTGCAAGTGATAGTATTAAAAAACATTCTATAGAGTACAAATAAATTTTAGATTGAGTTTTAACTTAATATTTTTTATAATTAGAAAATAGATAGAGTAATTTTACATAAACACACCACCAAAATAAAAATGAGAAGTAAGCTTAAATATATACAAATATCCAAAAAATCCAATACTACTTAGATTTTTTTAAATTTGTTCCTTGTATTATTATTAAAGCCTTTTTTATGATAGTGCATTAAATCAATGTTGCTTTAAAGAAAAATATTGATAGTATTAATTAAAATTGCTTCTATTAATTTATTCGTATCTTATGGATTTTTTCTTACATTATAGATATATCCATCATTTAATAGAAATTTGATTCAAAGGTAGTACTAAGTACTTCAAATGCCAATTAATTAAAGAAAATTTAGATAAAATCATTATTACAACTTTTTGAGCTATTCTATATAATATAAACTTCAAGCTAGTAAGAATAATATTCAAATTAAGATCTACAACGCTATCTATTTATAAAAAATGACAAAAAATATAATTTCTAGACTAATCTTTTAAAATCCAACTATTATGATTTTTAAATTTCAAAATATCATTTAAAGATATTTTCTTAATATTTAGAATGATTCTACATATTATTATGTCTAATGTAATCAATGCAATTTATTTTAAGTATATACAATTAAAAGTAGAAACCTTTATAATTATAATTTGTAGCTTCTTTTTCAAATAATAGCATATCTCAAGTTATTATGATGTTGGACAATCCCAAGAATATTAAATGCCATTGATATAATGTGTTAAAATAAGTTTTTTTTAGTGTATTACATATCTCTACTTATTATTTAGATTCACTCACTTTGACTACAACTTGTAAAATATGTTTAATAAAAGCTAATAAGACTTGTTTTTATTTTTAATTTTAAAAATAAGGAAAAAAACTTGCCAAAGAAGCTTGCTTACTATATCAATATTCTATAGTAAGTTAAGATAATTACAAATTCCAATCTCTATGATGTTCTTTCTATAAACCATAATTTTTAAGAACCTTCTTTATAATATGTTAATGATATACATGACAAAAAACAAAAGGTGAATACATTCTTATGTTACTTAAAAATAATACATAATTATTCTATGATGGTATAATATTAAAATAGAATGGCTATTGCCAAAGATAAGAAAACTAAAGGTTCTTGAAATAAGAGTAAAGAGAAAATAAATATTGACAAGAATAAAGAAGAACATTGTATAGGACCTTTAATATGTGTCCAACTTGCAAAATACATGTGAAACTTATAAGACTAGTATTCTATATATGCATCTTGTAGCCATCTTGTACTACAAGTCACCAATATATGCAATATGTGGCCAACTTGTGCATCAAGTTTTTAACCTATTAATAAACTATATATATATATAAAATAAAATCTGCTTATTTAAAGCTTCTCTAGAATATATTATTGAAGTTACTTACTTCTACTTAATTCTATCTATTTCTTTAATTTATATAAATATTTAC